TCTTGTGTTTATGTTGTTCTACAACACATCTTGTGGTTTATGCTGTTCTACAACACATCTTGTGTTTATGCTGTTCTACAACACAACTTTTGGTTTATGTGTTCTACAAACACATCTTGTGGTTTTTGCTGTTCTACAACACAACTTGTGGTTTATGCTGTCTACAGCACAACTTGTGGTTTATGCTGTTCTACAGCACAACTGTGGTTTATGCTGTTTTTTCAACACAACTTGTGGTTTATGCTGTTTTACAACACATCTTGTGGTTTATGCGTTCTACAACACAACTTGTGGTTTATGCGTTCTAAAAGCACAACTTGTGGTTTATAGCTTTCTACAAGACAACTTGGTTTATGCTGTTCTACAACACATCTTGTGGTTTATGCTGTTCTACACACAACTTGTGGTTTATGCTGTTCTACAACACAACTTTTGGTTATGCTGTTCTACAACACATCTTGTTGTTTATGCTGTTTCTACAACACAAAATTTTGGTTTATGTTGTTTACAACACAAATTGTGGTTTATGCTGTTCTAAAAAAGCACAACTTGTGGTTTATGTGTTCTACAGCACATCTTGTGGTTTATGCTGTTCTACAACACAACTTGTGGTTTATGCTGTTCTACAGCACATCTTGTGGTTTATGCTGTTCTACAGCACATCTTGTGGTTATGCGTTCTACGACACATCTTGTGGTTTAATGCTGTTCTACACACATCTTTGTTTATTCTGTTCTACAGCACATCTTGTGGTTTATGCTGTTCTACAACACAACTTGGGTTTTATGCAGTTCTAACCAACACAACTTGTGGTTTATGCTGTTCTACAACACAACTTTTTGGTTTATGCTGTTCTACAACACAACTTGTGGTTTATGCTGTTCTACAGCACATCTTGTGGTTTATGCTGTTCTACAACACAACTTGTGGTTTATGCTGTTCTACAACACAACTTGTGGTTTTTGCTGTTCTAAAAACACAACTTGTGGTTTATGCTGTTCTACAAAAACAACTTGTGGTTTATGTTGTTCTACAACACAACTTTTGGTTTATGCTGGTTCTACAACACAACTTGTGGTTTATGCTGTTCTACAACACAACTTGTGGTTTATGCTGTTCTACAACACAACTTGTGGTTTATGCTGTTCTACAACACAACTTGTGGTTTATGCTCTTCTACAACACATCTTGTGGTTTATGCTGTTCTACAGCACATCTTGTGGTTTATGCTGTTCTACAACACATCTTGTGGTTTATGCTGTTCTACAACACATCTTGTGGTTTATGCTGTACTGTTATTTATGCTGGAAACGACATAAACAGAGTGCGGGTGAACATGTGTCAACACTACGCCGTTACTAGTGTTCCGTGACACGGACGACACTTGTCTCTGTGTCGTAAACGCAGTAATTCACAGCAGCGTTAACATCAACATTCACAAATTGAACCTGACTCGCTCTATATTCTCGTTACCTTAAAAATAGTACTGTTAACTGCAGGATGAGCAGTGTCAGCTGCAGGATGAGCAGTGTTAGCTGCAGGATGAACAGTGTTAGCCGCAGGATGGGCACTGTTAGCTGCAGAAAAGAGCGTGTTTAAACTGCAGGATGAGCAGTGTTAGCTGCAGGATGAGCAGTATTAGCTGCAGGATGAGCAGTGTTAGCTGCAGGATGAGCACTGTTAGCTGCAGGATGAGCAGTGTTAGCTGCAGCATGAGCAGCGTTAGCTGCAGGATGAACAGTGTTAGCTGCAGGATGAACAGTGTTAGCTGCAGAATGATCACTGTTAGCTGCAGGATGAGCAATGTTAGCTGCAGGATGAGCAATGTTAGCTGCAGGAAGAGCACTGTTAGCTGCAGGATGAGCAATGTTAGCTACAGGATGAGCAGTGTTAGCTGCAGGATGAGCAGTGTTAGCTGCAGGATGAGCAGTGTTAGCTGCAGGATGAGCACTGTTAGCTGCAGGATGAGCATTGTTAGCTGCAGGATGAGCAGTGTTAGCTGCAGGATGAGCAGTGTCAGCTGCAGGATGAGCAGTGTCAGCTGCAGGATGAACACTGTTAGCTGCAGGATGAGCAGTGTTAGCTGCAGGATGAGCAGTGTTAGCTGCAGGATGAACAGTGTTAGCCGCAGGATGAACAGTGTTAGCTGCAGAATGAGCAGTGTTAGCTGCAGGATGAGCAATGTTAGCTGCAAGATGAGCAGTGTCAGCTGCAGGATGAGCAGTGTTAGCTGCAGGATGACCACTGTTATCTGCAGGATGAGCACTGTTAGCTGCAGGATGAGCACTGTTAGCTGCAGGATGAGCACTGTTAGCTGCAGGATGAGCACTGTTAGCTGCAGGATGAGCACTGTTAGCTGCAGGATGAGCAGTGTTAGCTGCAGGATGAGCAGTGTTAGCTGCAGGATGAGCAGTGCTAGCTGCAGGATGAGCAGTGTTAGCTGCAGGATGAACAGTGTTAGCTGCAGGATGAACCGTGTTAGCTGCAGAATGAGCAGTGTTAGCTGCAGGATGAGCACTGTTAGCTGCAGGATGAGCACTGTTAGCTGCAGGATGAGCACTGTTAGCTGCAGGATGAGCACTGTTAGCTGCAGGATGAGCAGTGTTAGCTGCAGGATGAGCACTGTTACCTGCAGGATGAGCACTGTTAGCTGCAGGATGAGCAGTGTTAGCTGCAGGATGAGCACTGTTACCTGCAGGATGAGCAGTGTTAGCTGCAGGATGAGCAGTGTTAGCTGCAGGATGAGCTGTGTTAGCTGCAGGATGAGCAGTGTTAGCTGCAGGATGAGCAGTGTTAGCTGCAGGATGAGCACTGTTAGCTGCAGGATGAGCACTGGGTTAGCAGTCAGTATTGATGATTTATTTTCACATATAATGTTTACTGAGAATCACCCAGTCAGTCTATCTTTTAAACATTCATGGGAAAAAACACTGCATTAGATACTTCTATTTATATTTTTTTGGGCTCGGTCTGAATGCGATTTTTTTTCAAGGTAAATCGTTAATAGTTATTGGTATTTTGTAAACTGCAAATTCTAAATTAGCCATTTCTTTCACCCTCTCGATTTTATGTAGTTAGCTTTACTCCCTTCTTTAGGGATTTATCCTCTACTGGTGGCATTGAGGTGAAACACAACAGATGAAAAGTTAAAATAGAGAGGGAGAAAGTAGGAGAAGACAACCCTGATATTATAGCTATCACGGAAACGAAATTCTGGAAAATATGAAAATGTGGTGTTCCCAGGGCCAAAGACTGTTTAACAGCCTCTCAACATACATAAGGGGGATTACTGAGAGACTTCTGGCTGTTTTCAAGAGCAAGCTGGACAGACACCTAAAGTCAGTACCTGACTAGCCGGGCTGTGGTTCGTACGTCGGTTTATGTGCGGCCAGCAGTAGCAGGCTGGTTGATCAGGCCCTGATTCATTACTAGGCCTGGCCACGGACCGGGCCAAGGGGCGTTGACCCCTGGAACGCCCTTCAGGTATACTCCAGAGAGCTGTAGTCAAGAGGCTTGAAACCTAACAGCCGAATCCAAGCCAGTACGAAGATTCACCAGTCGTGCTGACAATGCGTTTAGTTGAGTAGGCTCCGGAGATTGGTAGTTTCCAAGGATTGGGCCAGAGGATACCTAGCGGACCTAAATCTCAGCCATGACTTATACCGGTATGGTACACGACCGAGGAACTACACTGTTTTGTGTGGAATAGGTGATAGAACTGGGGGATATGGGAGGGGAAATGGAGGAGAGAGAGGGGAGAAGAAGACGAGGAGAATTTCACGTTGGAGAGAGGACTTGGGGAGTGATGGAGGAAGGGTGAATAGTGGAAGGGATAGAGGGAAGGAGAGATGGTGTTGGAGGGAGGGAAGATGAGTAAGGAATGGGGGGGATGAGAAGAAGAGGGAGAAGTGCATTAATGAATGAATGAATGAATCAGGGAAGGAAGGGAGAGGGAGAGTGAAGAAGGAAGTGAGGAAGGTAGGAAGGTAGAGGGAGAGTGAAGATGGAAGGGAGAAAGAAGGAAGGAAGGAAGGTAGAGGGAGAGTGAAGAAGGAAGAGAGGAAGGAAGGAAGGGAGGAAGGAAGGGAGGAAGGAAGGAAGGGAAGAAGGAAGGGAAGAAGGGAGGGAGGAAGGAAGGGAGGAAGGAAGGAAGGGAAGAAGGAAGGGAAGAAAGGAGGGAGGAAGGAAGGAAGGCAGAGAAAGAGTGAAGAAGGAAGGGAGAAGGAAGGAAGGAAGGAAGGAAGGAAGGTAGGAGAGTAAAGAAGGAAGGGAGAAAAAGGAAGGGGGAGATAAATATAAACAACACATGTACGAACTGGTAATAATGCAATAATCACAAAATTTGTACTCGCCGATTTGTGTGCAAGGGTCGAGTCACCGCTCCCACCTCTTGAAATGCACTGACTGCCAGTACTAAGCCACACTACCCGGAAATCTTTGTCGTGTCTACTCTTGAAACTGTGCATACTGTGTCTTCCCCTCCCTTGCTTGTCGTGGGTCGAGTCTCAGCTCTCGGCCTTTCAAGCTGAGTCATCAGGAGCTAATTAGTACCTTAGCATTGCAATTCTGCTTTGGAGCTATCGCTTTCACTCTCACTTTCACTTTCACTACAAATTTCAACGTAAGTTTCACTCTCACTTTCTAAAAACTCAGTCTCGCTTTCACTCATATTCATTGTCAATTGAAGTCTCACTTTCCCTCTAACTTTCATTCTCACTTTCACTTTCAATTTCAGTCTCACTCTCACTTTTACTTTCAGTCTCATTTTTCACTCTCACTTTCAATTTCAGTCTCTCTTTAACTCTCAACTTCCATATAATTTCCACTCTCACTTTCTAAAAAATCAGTCTCATTTTCATTATCCTTTTCAGTCTCACTTTCACTCTCACTTTCAGTTTATCTCAATGTCAGTCACACTTTCCCTCTCAATATCAATCACACACTTTCAGTATCATTTTCACTCTCTCACTTTCTCACTTTGAGTGTCACTTTCTACTCACGTTCTCACTGCTTGGATGAGGAAGAAGTTGAAAACAGCCAGCAGACAGAGCGGCAGCAGAATGAAAGTGACTGCCGTGAACCAGTAGTAGGAGTGACGGTACCGGGAGTCCTGTCCCAACTGAAACAAGAGAAAGTGAAAGTGAAACATGAGGTAAAAGTGAAATATCAGGTGAAAGTGAAATATTCGTACAGCATAATGATGTCAACGAGATAAAGTCAGTTGATCACATGAAAATGCTGGCCCACAGATGGCTCCAACTTCATCCTGTTCCCTACCTGTATGTCTCATAACAATAAAAATGCTTTCAAATGAGCTGATGTAGGTAACAGCTCTTAGCTTGTCAATAAAGTTAGGAATCCTTAACCTGTAAATAGCTTGTCAATAAAGCTAGGAATCCTTAACCTGTAAATAGCTTGTCAATAAAGTTAGGAATCCTTAACCTGTAAATAGCTTGTCAATAAAGCTAGGGATCCTTAACCTGTAAATAGCTTGTCAATAAAGCTAGGAATCCTTAACCTGTAAATAGCTTGTCAATAAAGCTAGGAATCCTTAACCTGTAAATAGCTTGTCAATAAAGCTAGGGATCCTTAACCTGTAAATAGCTTGTCAATAAAGGTAGGAATCCTTAACCTGTAAATAGCTTGTCAATAAAGCTAGGGATCCTTAACCTGTAAATAGCTTGTCAATAAAGCTAGGAATCCTTAACCTGTAAATAGCTTGTCAATAAAGCTAGGGATCCTTAACCTGTAAATAGCTTGTCAATAAAGCTAGGGATCCTTAACCTGTAAATAGCTTGTCAATAAAGCTAGGGATCCTTAACCTGTAAATAGCTTGTCAATAAAGCTAGGGATCCTTAACCTTGTCAAACCTTGGTTAAGAAAAAAGGTGAAACACTAGATGAAGGGAAAACACTGGGTGAAGGTGAAACGCGGGAAGGTGAAGGTGAAACACAAGGTGAAAGTGAAACACCAAGCGAAACTAAAACACCGGGTGAAGGTGAAACACCAGGTGAAGGTGCAGGTGAAAATCAAGGTGAATAAGCAGGTGAAACAGAAAGTGAATGTGAATAAGCAGGTGAAACAGAAAGTGAAGGTTATAAGCAGGTGAAACACGAGGTGAAGGTGAACAAGCAATGTGTAGAGATTAAGAACATAAGAAGAACATAAGACAGAAAAAACACTGTAGCAGGCCTACTGGCCCATGTGAGGCAGGTCCAAATCTCACACCGGCTTAAGTCAACGCCCTGACCTAGTCAGATTAGGAATTGGGGAGTTTCTAAAAGTATTACCCAGAGTGCTGAGGATGGGATATTGTGGTGGTTTAGACATTTAGAGAGGATAGAACAAAACAGGATGACTTGGAGCGGGTATAAATCTGGGATATAGGGTAGGAGGGGTAGGGGTAGTCTTAGAAAAGGTGGGAGGGATAAACGAGGTTATGAGTACTAAGTGCTTGGACATGTAACAGGCGTTTGTGAGAGTGTGAAACAGGAGTGAGTGGAAGCAAATATTTTTTTATGATTTAAAGTGCTGTTGGAGTGCGAGCAAGATACCATTCATGAAGGGATTCAGAAGGAACCGATTAACCGGACTTGAGTCCTGGAGGTGTGAAGTACAGTGACTGCACTCTGAGGGAGGGGAGAGGATATTAGTAGTTTGGTGGGTCGTATGAACATTGATGCCAACACGTCTCTGGCAACACTGTGACTGTATGTGTGCCAGTAAAAGTGTTTTCTTCACTATAATAATAATAATCAAATAAAATAGATAATAATAATAATAATAATATAATAATAATAATAATAATAATAATAATAATAACAATAATAATAATAATAATAACACAACACGACAACATCAATAATAATAATAATAATAATAATAATAATAATAATAATAATAATAATAATAATAATAACAATAATAATAATAATATAATAACAACAACGACAACAACATCAGTAATAATAATAATAATAATAATAATAATAATAATAATAATAATAATAATGATAACGACAACGACAACAACATCAGTAATAATAATAATAATAATAATAATAATAATAATAATAATAAAATAATAATAATAATAATAATAATAATGATAATAACAACGCCAAAACAACATCAGTAATAATAATAATAATAATAATAATAATAATAATAATAATATAATAATAATAATAATAACAATAATAATAATAATAATAATAATAATAATAAAATAATAATAATAATAATAATAATAATAATAATAATAATAGTAATAATAATAAAATAATAATAATAATAATAATAATAATAATAATAATAATAATAATAATAATAATAATAATAACAATAATAATAATAATAATAATAATAATAATAATAAATAATAATAATAATAATAATAATAATAATAATAAATAATAATAATAATAATAATAAAGACGTATCAGCAAAATTTCGCCATTTCCCGCTGGCTTGGCCCACGGTGCGAGAATCTGCCTCACTAGCGTCTGTTAGTGAGACAACAGTGCCTACGGCAGCAGCTGCTACACTGCCACCTGGCAGTGAGACAGCAGTGCCTACGGCAGTACCAGCAACACTGGCACCTGACAGTGAGACAGCAGTGCCTACGACAGTAGCAGCAACACTCCCACATGGCAGTGAGACAGCAGTGCCTACGACAGTAGCAGCAACACTCCCACATGGCAGTGAGACAGCAGTGTCTACGGCAGTAACTGCCACACCCTCCTTTCACTGCGAATCATTTAGCTGTAAATCTGGAAAGCCTTATGACATTTAAAGTTCAGACAGTGATCCCAGGAGCTACAGCCTCGTCTTCCCACCCACTACCACCTTCACCACCTACACACAACGTCCATTCCCACTTCACCTGATGGCAGGAGTCACCTTAGATGACAGGAGGTCCTGTCGGGAGCCTAAGAGGGCCGTCACACCAGGTACTCTTCAAGAATCTTATCACTGTGTATTAACATATGCTCTCAAACGTAGTCTAGTTCCCAATAGTGTCTATACGGAAGGAGTGGAGAGTGGGGAGAGAGCCTTTTGCTTTGCTATCTCTTCCTTGAGGCATCTAGACAATACAAGACAGTACTCAATGTAGGTAGTAGATAGTACTTCCCAGTAGTTATGCTTTCCTCTAGATAGCTTCAGTGTGAACTTTAAGGTTCTCAGCTGTCTGTCTTCCCCCATGTACTACCATGTACTCCCATGTACTCCCGTGTACTCCCGTGTACTCCCACGTACTTTCATTAACCACTTAAATCTACATCTTCAAAGCATGTATGTATACCTGCCATAATGAGCTGAAAATCTAATGATCATAATTATCATTTTTAAAGGGGGTGAGGGGGATAAGCCAGCTGAAGGTTTCGGTCAGATGACCATAAGCTCCTCCAGCTACGCGGGTCATCATATGACTAAGACCCCGCTTCAGGAAGCACCTGTTGTTGCAACCCCTGAATGGGTTACAATGTATTTATATTACATGTATATTACATTTTCATATAATTTTATATTACTTATATTTGCGATAATAGCTAAATCGTGAATATATTGCTTTGTATTATTATTTGACTTAGTTTCCTTTTGTTAGGTAGGATGTAACATATTATGTGCTCAGTTCAAGTCTTGATTGTCTAACTACTGTAATTATCGCTCTTTCCTCATTACTCTGCCGCCTTCTGTTGCTGGGCAACAGCTGTCCACGGAGCTATCACGTGATCGAGGGGGGGGGGGGTGTCCACACCTCGCCTGAAGTATTCAGTCTGGTCTAGACTCGCTGGGTGGTTGTACGTATTCTAGACAAGACGAGCCTAAATCTCCTTTATTGGCCCTTGTTGGAAGATCGTCTCTTGTCTCATTATTGTTGTATGTTCTGTAGAACTCTGTTCACAGAACACTGTCGAGACTAAGTGATTTTCGACGTTGTACTGAGGTTGTGTGTCGCTTAGACACTCTGAGCAACTCAGGTCCTGAGCAGTAGCTTCTGACCTAATTGTACCGTACTGTGTATTGTAGTATTTTATGCTGAACTAGATTCAGTATTATGGGACTTTTATGACTTTTGTGGAGGATCTGCTGATGGTCCCTACTTAGTGTCGTTACATTATCTCCTTGTTCCTGACTCTGTGTCGCAGTTGCTTGTTATATTGTTATTGGGCTTAGCATTTTTTTATTGTTCAAGCAGACTGTTCTAATTGCCAGTTGGTCAAGAAGTTAGTTTATTTGTGGACTTTGTCAGTCACTTGTTTAAGTCTAGTCGAGTCGTGAGACATAGTGAACTACGTAGAGCACTTAACCACATACACACACACTTACTTGTACATATTTGTAATATCTTATTAAATGTTAATGTACCAGACGGTACTTAAGAATTATAAATGTGATATGTGCTTTCAGCACAATAATACTGTACACGAGAAAAGTGATTATTATTATTTTGTTGATTACTGTGATTAATTTAATTTGATATACTCCTAGACAACTTATTTAATAAATTTATTAAATTTTAATTTCTCTAGTTAGTAGCCTACCAGTTGTAATCCTGAAGCACTATTGAATCATACTGAATTCTAATGGATAATTGGACAAGGATACTGACTACTTGTTACGAAAACCCAGTAACAGGCTGGATGCTAGAAGGGCAGTCCTTTCTAGTATTACTAAGTTTTTAGAATCGCGTTTTTTGTAACACCTGTCCTTCTCTCATGACAAGCCTTACCTAACAACACCCACCAACACCCACACCAGCTGTAGGTGTTGCTGGTGTTGGAGACTGCAGCGCCACCAGATAAATGATTTAGGTGGCCCGGTGGCCTGGTGGCTAAAGCTCCCGCTTCACACACGGAGGGCCCGGGTTCGATTCCCGGCGGGTGGAAACATTCGACACGTTTCCTTACACCTGTTGTCCTGTTCACCTAGCAGCAAATAGGTACCTGGGTGTTAGTCGACTGGTGTGGGTCGCATCCTGGGGGACAAGATTAAGGACCCCAATGGAAATAAGTTAGACAGTCCTCGATGACGCACTGACTTTCTTGGGTTATCCTGGGTGGCTAACCCTCCGGGGTTAAAAATCCGAACGAAATCTTATCTTATCTCATCTTA